TGTTACAGAATTCGAGTTCATTGGCTGCTGGTGCCCCCATGACTGAATTTAATCCGACAATTGAACCATGTTCTTTTGATGATATTCTGGTGAATCAAAACCAGATTAGTAACTACGATATGGTAATTGCATGGTTCCTTTTGGTGATTTCGGACAACATGGTTAGGTTAGGTTAGTTTAAGAACATATGTTCACCAGTTAGATAATTAGCTCGACAATGGAAAATTTGCATGATTTTTTGCAAAATTTAGGGTTCGGCAGACTTTTTTCATCCATTTCATGCTGATAACCTTTGCTTTCAGTGAATTGAATGGTCTTAAATTCTATCGTTGATGTATTTGTGTAGGTTATGGTCTTTAGCAAACTGGAATCAAAATTAGATATTAATTTGACTAAAGATCCAATCTTTGATCATTGATGTATAGAATAGTAGCATGTTTGTTTCCAATTAAAATTGAAAATATAGCCATTGTTGGATCTCATTCGTCTAATAAAAGTCAACAATAACGACTAACTTTTCAATTTTAATCCGATTTTAATCTCTACTAGATCTCGTTGAGACATAGTTGTCGAGGAATTAAGCTCTTGTTAGCTCGAGATTCTTGGTTGAGAGTTATACTATCGCAAAATTCAGTCTACCATATACGTAGAACACGACTAATTATCATGAAATGAACGAATTCACTATTGAAATTCAATTCTTCAATCAAAGGAACTAGTTCATTAAACACCCCTTAAAACTCCTAATGGGCAAACTTTTTACGGTGCTCTTAAGTGAGAAGGTGTACGTGTTGATTTTGGAATGGCAACGAACTTTTTATTTGTAGACTACACAAAAATTGGTAGAAAAACTCGATGTGAAAATTGCTAATAATTTTGGATCCATTTAGTGCTAAACGTGTCAATTCATCCACACACATTTGAGTTAAAATATTGGGCCTCCTCCATTGGAGCAATGCCCATTTTCAAAATCAGGCCCAAAGTTCATCAGTAGAGAATTTTTACTGACAATCAAGAACAAAAACAATTTGCATCTGTACTTATAAATTGAGTTAATAGACAAATATCTAAGATATCCTGCATACAGTAGAATGAAATTCCAGGCTCTCCAATGGGTTTGGTTGATGTGTGCAGTTTGCATGTCTCTGACATAGAACATAAGAAAAGAAGAAAAGCTTTACGTGAGCCATCATCAAACCATTTCTGAACATAGAATCAGTTCTCAAGGTTCAGAGGAGCCATATACTGAGGTTCCGGTTGAAGCTCATGCATCTTGATTACCACCACTGATCTTTTTCCAAAACCACAGGAAGCAGCTGTTTATGATTTTCTGTAGTGGAGATAAAAATCGAAATAAACAAAAAAACAATGGTCAGCTTCTGGAAAAAATTGAGGCCACTGCTTAGTCCTGGAAACATCAAAAGAAGACAGATATCAACTTACAACTGATATCAATAATCGTCATCACTTCCATATTGTTGGCATAATGATTGCAATCCACTGCTTGCAACAGCGGTGGGTCCTGTCCCCTGATTCTTTGGCTTCTCCTTAGCTGAATTGTTACTAGTGGAATCGGGAAGTGGTTTCTTAAGAATAGAAACTGTGATGGTTGAAGACTTGAAAATGAATTTACCACTATCAGAAGCCCCAGAAACCTGCATATTATCTGCAATAACCGCAATGGTTGTTTGTTCAGTGTTTCAGAAAAACATAACATAATCTGGCCATCCCAAAGCAGGCAATGTATTGTTTGCCAATAACAAACAGAGCAATTAGTGATAAGTTGGATGGCATAACGAGTACCCAGGCATAATATGTCAATCCAATCCAACTTTCAACAAACAATAGTAGCTAAAGAGAGGGAGTGCTTTGTGAAACAGAGTAAACTCATGCATCATTTATTACATGGAAAACGAATAACCATATGCATTACGTCAAAATCCATATGATCCAACATTCAACAAACTGTAGTTGCTTACAATATATTATATCCTAACGCCAGGATACAGAATCCTCTATCGAAACTGGAAACTTTGAATTCGAAAGAAATGTTTTTAACAGTAATAATTCCAGGGAAAGCTGTACCGGACCTTTTTATCATTTTAAAATAGAGAGAGAACTGGCCAGTGACTACGAATACAACATGGGTCAGAGGAGATCAACAAAAAATTATATCTTGAAATGGAACTTGAGGTCAAGTTTCTAACCTTTACTGTTAGAGCTGTCAAGATCAGGGCCCTTCGTCAAAGAATCTGTTGGATTGCAAGGTTCTTCGGATACCTTTCTCCTCTGCACAAAAAGAAAATGCATTGAGTGTCCAAACTATATATACAAGCAGGCTTATATAAATGCTTCTCAGAGAATACCCACTAATCAAGCCAATTTGTAACAAGATCAAAATATTTGACATAACTAGTAGATTCAGGAAATGCTCACGCTTCGAGAACTCATCCTAACTGGTTTAGAGGTCATAAAATTAGTTAGCTTTTTTTTTTTTAGTAATATTAAATTTAGCTCATGGATGTGGCATGTAAAACCCATCCCTCACAAGTGGAATCAGATGCAACAGTTCTCAAACCCACATGGCTATACAATAACCAGCCAGCACCAGCAGCACCATTATCTCCTTTAAGAAATGATATGGACTTGACAAAGTTTAAAGTATTCTCCACCCTACCTTATCTTCCATCACACCTCCCTCAAAGTAAAAGAGATAAAACATACGAATAGGTGGACATCAAGCAAGTGAAACTGACTACAGCAAGTGTTTAATTTTTATCTTCAGTATCTTTACTAGAAAACTTGTACATCGGAAGTTTTTGGGACACTTTCTGGCAGCAGTCACTGAGTGAAGGTACTTGTTCCCCTTTCTGGTCAACGAGAATATTGGATACACAGGTTCACCCGACTGGTATTAGTCAATAAAGTTGACTCGTCAAGAATAGATAGATAAAATAGAATTTAAATAAAAGTAAATAAATATGTGAATGATGTTATTGTCTCCAATGCTCATGCACAAGGTTTAGACTGTCTCCTGAGATTAAAAGAATGAACTAGAACTAGAACTAGAACAGAATTTGAAAAAAAAAAAAAGGAGTGCTTACGAACATTTTCCTGTCAGTAGCCGTTCAAATTCACAGTTAAATATTCATGCCGTGCACATAGCATCATGAAAGTGGAAATAGTTACCATGTATCTAACTCGTTCTTGTCCCAATTTTCTTGATATATGAAATCTAATTTTAAAGAGCTCTTAAGAGGAAATTATTTCTAAATCCCTCATTCATGTATCATGGATTGGCAGGGATAATTTAATTCCGCGTCTACAGGTTGTCCACATCCTGTAATGAAATTACTGATTGTGCTCTGTCTTCAGATTAATGATTTCTTTCACCGAATGATATTAAATGCAGCTAGTTAGAATACCAACCACGTAGCAATCGGCAGATCAAAAGAGTCCCTGCAATTTACATCTTGATAGCATTCAAATTCTGGCCTATGTTATGTACTTATGGAGTAGATAAAAGTTTCTATAGCACAATTTTATATCATTGGCATTACTCCATTTTCTGCAAGATGTTTAATAAAAAAAGTACGATCAACGTTGACTTTTTCAAATAGAGAGAGACAGATATTTACACATTTAGAGTACATTGTTTCACAACCAGATAATAAATGGTTAGTTGTCATTGAAACTATTTCTAGCTCCAAACGTTCTGAGTAAGTGGGAGACCCAGGAATTTGTTTTCCTCAACACTTTTTTCTGAGAAATACTTTTACCTCAATTTACTTATTTAGCTTATCTTTCGCCCACTTAAGTTTGAGTGAGAAGAGAAACAGAGAATTTAAGAAGGACAAAACTCAACCAGAAGGCCAAGATAAGTACTAAACCTTCAAATGATCAGCAGATGTTCCTCCTTTGTCAAATGAAAACATGGGCAAATCGTCATCATCATCATCAATATCCTCATCATCAATCCTTCGTAGAACAGTAGGCTCTCGTGGTCCCTTTGTAAATAATTAAACCAAGCAATGCCCAAAGTGAACAAATACACAAAGAAACAAAGTAATAATAATAATAATACAAACAATAATGATAAGAATTTGACAACAAATGCTCACCTTGAACACAGCCTTTATAAGAGCTTCATCCTCTTCTTCCAACTTCCTTTCCTATCAGAACAGAAGTTCAAATTATAATAAGACACAAGGTATGGAATAGTTCGTACAAGAATGCAGAAAGGTCACATTTTTGCTAGTCAAAGTTCAAATAAAAATTGAAAAAAAAAAAAAAATCTTCACATTTATAATTAACGATAAATCGATAACCAAGACAACCGCTTCTAATTTTGTTATGGACCAACTCCTGTGTAACTTTGAAATTGTAATAAAAAAATTTTGCTTTATAAAATTAGGTTTCTCATCTTCCTTTTTTCTTGTTATGATCCTGACATAGGTTTGCTTTGTTGTAACTGTTGTTAGATCCTATTAAAAAAAATACTCCAAAATCACTTTAGTATTGCTAGCTTTACCCAGTTAACTGACTAATGTGACTCTTAAATTAAGGAATCAGCACCCAGAAAGAAGTCTCGTGAACAGATCAGCCAATTTTTGTATTTTCTACCATCACTCTGAGGGCAGCCGTATAACCACCACACTAGCATCCATCAATGCAGTAAGTTTAACAAAATAGAACCGTGACATAAATACTCAGAAGTCTTAGTTCAAACGACTGATAAGTAATAATGAAATATCTCCCAGCTCCCTAAGCAGAAACACAAAGCTAGAGAGAGCACATATTCTATACTAAACTAGCATTAGCATCTCACCTTTGCCTCATTTGAGCGTTGCAAAGTTTCAAGCATTGCATCTACGCTCACAGTTGCATGTCTCGACTGAAAAAAGAAAGAAAAAATAATATGAGCCAAATCAAGGGTTAAAATGACATTCAAAAAGGGAAAATAAGTATACAAGAAGTGATTAGAAACCAATATATGAGCACATCACTTGATCAAGTGATCACCTTCATAGACTTCATTTCATCTAAAGCAGCTAGGATATCCATTTCTCTCTTTGAGTCCAAAGTTCTATTCTCCAGCGATTTCATGGCATCTCCCATCTCTTCAGCATTCCTTTTCTTTTTCTCTTCGTCCATTACCTATCAAGAAGGAAATAACAATTAATGAAACCTAAGTATGTGCAAAAATGAAAAAGGCTTTACATGAGTATGAAGGGCACTCAGATAATAATAAAAATAATTATTCACCTCATCCTCTGCACGCCAAGGTTCATAATTTCTAGATGCACCAGACTCAACAATATAATCAGAATTCTGTGGATCCGTCTTGAATGTAATTTCAGCCGAGCATTTAGTACATTTGAAATAGAACCTAAAAATTTGGATTCCAAGATAGGTCTGCAAATAAATGTAACATGCAAAATAGAGTTAAATAATGAAGTCATTAGCAGAAATCAATTAAGAGTATGCTTATTGTTCGGAAAGAAAAAATACAAGAAATGTGTTTTTGGTTTTGATTGTATTTTCGTAGCCACGGTACAATGATGATTATTGATCATTATAAAGATTCCAATCTTCCAAAATATGGAAGCTTCTACTGTTCTACAATCTATCTGGTAGAACAAATTGAGGATTCAGACTCATTTCCATGTTCATTAATGGAAGAAAACGACAAACAAAATTATTTTGGATTTGAGAAACTGGGTTAAGCTAGCAATACTACAAAATTGAAAACCAAAATTCTATCCTGTTCAAGGTCCCCGAAATCAAATAATACAAGATCTGAAGCACCATCCATATCTCATAACAGAAATAGAATAACAACCCATTACTAAAATCAACAAATAAATCTAAAAGATACAAGATTGCGTACTTTATAGAGACCTCAAAAACCAGTAACACAAAAGCGTAACCACTGCTCATTTCTTAAAATAAAACCTAACAAAAACCCTTAGATACCAAATGATAAAATTAATTTTAAAAGGTCCAAAGGCCACACAAACCAACTAATCAAAATTAGACTCACTACCTTCAACCAATATCAAAAGAAAACCAATTCAGGTCATTAGGCCCTTGTTTGGAGGAATTAAAATCAGATTTTTAGTAGATTTTGATAAAAGTTGATGAAATGCGTGGTTGAAAAGTTGTAGCACTCATAAAATATATGTAGTTAAAATTGATTGTTGACTTTGACTTGTATTAAAATTTGAATTTGAATCGGTACCAAACATGGGCTAGATATCTATCAATTAAATAGAACCCCAAACTTCCAGATCCTCAAAATATAATGATCAAATCTTAAAACCAAAAAATTTGAGGACCAGCGACCCAAGACAACATTCTAAGCAATACCCATGACTAAAAATCAAATCAAACAACTCATTATTCAAAAAAATCAATTAAACCTAAATAGAAGTAACATTTATGTATTTGCGTGTACCTCTCCGATGACATCTTCCTTGCGGGAATTAAATTTGGTACCCTTATAGATGTAATTCCCACAGGTGCCACAGCGGATGCTCATGGGGAGCATCATGCGAACCTTAATTTGTTGGTTCTTCGGCTGCCGCCGCCGCGGAATCTTCGCCGGATCGAAGTCTGGCGGGTAGTATTTGTTCAACACTTTTCTCTCACCCATCTCTGCTTTTCGTCAGCAGAACGTCAGACGGGAAACTCAGGAGCAATATCGAATCAAAGCAACTTACGCCTACAAAATATTCCAAAAAATTAATATTAGCTTTTCGTCAGCAGAACTTCAGACGGGAACCTCAGGAGCAATATCGAATCAAAGCAACTTCAGCCTACAAAATATTCCAAAAAATTAATTTTATCACTAAAAAGTAACTATTTTCATCAGATAGATAATTATTTCATGCACACTCCATGAAAACGGAGAAATTCCCAAACGACAAACAATAGTCAGAAAATGCAAAACAATGTGAAATTGCAAAAAATAAAAATAAAAATAAAAAATACTGTTTCTTGGGGCGGAGCCACCTGTGGTCTAGCGGGGGCAACTTGCCTCGCTGGATTTTAGTCCTATGTATTTCACCTATCACACTTGAGGGCGGTAAAAAATTCAAGAAAATATTATCGAAAAAATCACCGTTACTAGAGGAAGATTACCGAGAAACAACAATTTCGAAAAATAAATATATTATAAGGAGTTGAGTTAAAATTCAATCATTCACAATAATCAGATCGAGTGCGACTCAACATATAAGCCCCTTTTTACAGTAATAAAATCTTATACTACCTTCCAATTTTGATGATGAATAAGTTGAGTAAAAATCAATGCAACACGAGATAAATTAGTGCCGGGGGTGATGAATATGTATACCTTTTTGCTTCTCCCCCAATTTTTTTGCGTAATGCCGAGGAAGAAAACCTCGTCGCTCGTCCCCCTTTCCTCTTAGAATAAGACTTGTTTACAGTTGGATTCCAATGGGCCTCGATCAAGTTAGTAATAGATAAATAAAATAAAATAAATTTTTTTTTTTACAAATTAAGTGATTAACAAAAAAATAAAAAACTTGTGAATCTGATTGTTAATTTCCTATATGTTCCGTCTCTTTCTCTCTTTCCTTTTTCATTGTGATATAAAGGGGGAATGAATTGTTCGCTAAAAAAAATAGCATTATTTTTCGTTTTATCCTATCAGAGGCCACAAAATCGTGGAAGAATACTACTCAAATAAGTCATACTTTTATGTTGTTAAACATCCCGTTAAATGTCACAATGATCGCATGTGACAACCATTTATCTACATGAATAATTGTCACATGAAATTATCGCAATTCTACAAAAATAGCAATGTCATAGTCACAATAATTTGTCACATTTCACGTAAACTCATGCCAAATTAATTGGTCATAATTATACGATATAAAATGAGTCAAAGTAACAATTTCTTCTTGTTAAATAGCTATTTCAAGATCACAACGATAACACGTGGTCACATGGTAGAAGAAGTTACATCCCCACAACATAAGTCACAACATACTTTCAACGTTTCTTCTAGCTACTGCAATGTTGACTCATAATTTTTAGAGATTTCAATTATTGATGTCGTCGATCATTTTGTAGGGATATATTTAAAAAGAAAAAAACTATTTTCATATATCCACCAATTAGTTCTAATGAAAATCTTTTAATTTAGGAAGCCTACCATATACCGAGAGCCTGCTTTGGAGAGATTCTTTGAAATTTATTTTCTCCAAAACTATGTTCAACCACATATTCTATGGACTCGTGATTTTCTCTGTTTTTAATCACATTGCATGAAAAAATTGTTTTTCACTCAAAAAAATAAAAATCGAGCAGTGCCTAGGGAGTGCCAAGTGGCGTGCAAGGTAGTACAGAGCCTATGTGACCCTATACAATTATCAAAATCCAATAAAATCTCTTCTAAACAAGTTGTAATTGTTTGTAGCAAGATTATCCTCTACTGGATCCTAGAATGCCTCTGAATCATTCAAAAGAATGACTTGGCATCATAAATTGGCAGGGTGGTCTAACTGCACTCCGCTCAATGTAATTACTATCTAAACTGATGTTTAATATTAACAGTGATGAATAACATTACTTTCTCAAATGCAACTATTTTGTAGAATCTTTGCTATGCATATCCAAGATGTTTCAAAGTTCTTCCAAGCATGACATTTTATTTCGAGGGAGACCACCTCTTAGTTAACTCAAGAAATCTATTTTAAGAACAAATTTCTTTCGCCTACCAGTGTTGAGGGAGCAAAACACAACAATTTTGGGGGGCTTATCAACATCACTAGGTGCAAGCAACGTGCAATGCACGTTTGCTTAGTTTGTATTTAATATTTTTGTTTAATAATTAATTTGTTATTAATAAAGATATAATTTTGTTTGGTTAATTAAAGACGTGTCTGGGCGCGCTGCAAGGAGGAAGGAAAATTGATTATGTTACCGTTTTTTTTTTCAAAACTACAGCCCTATAGTGAGAGAATTTGTCCAAAATTGCGACTCCCAACGGCATGAATTGTCTTGCCATGGCTTGATTTCTGCTGAAAAGCAGAAACAGACACCTTATAAATAATTAATAATGTAATGTTTATGTAATTGATAAATAATTAGATGTGTGATTTTGATATTGTGATGTAGGTTGGTGAGATTGAAGAAAATAAGTAAAAGTAGACAAATTTGGAGAAATGGCTAAATTGTAAGGGATCCAAAGTTCGAGGGCTAAAATGTAAAT